CTGAGCACCCGGAGAGAACCTACGCATGCACAGGGAGAACATGCAAACTCCATGCAGAAAGATCCCAGGCTGGGGAAGCCAAGCTACAGGGTTTCCCTTACATAGGCGTAGCCGTGGCGGGCCGCCACGGCTGAAATCCCACCACCACGCCTACAACATCCCAAGTTTTATTGATGTTTTTTTTGCGCCGTTTCCCAAAGCAGCAGCAGGAACTACTGTGTTGTTGCTTGTGATCACAGCCGGCAGGTAGCAAGGAGGAGGAGGCAGGGCAGGGTGGTTACAGCTATGAGCGTATGGATAAAGCATTTTTGACGAATACGAGCAAGAAACGAGTGTAAAACTCGAAAATATCTGTAATCGTGCTGAATGAAATCCTCATTGGGTAACTGACTGTCTTCACGCTCTGTGATTGGCCAGTCAGATAGAGCGCCCGCCCCTCCCTACACACAAAACTGCAGCCGGGAGCTCAGTCAGCTCGGCCCAGGCATCAACGCACACACACAGACAGTAAAGCCGGGCGGACACTGTGCGACTTTTTCACTTTTTTGAGCCGATTTTCCACTCGTGCGACAATCCACAAGATCGGGGCGAGTTTTGCGCTGAGCGTCGTGTAGTGTACCGGGGGTTACGAGAGGCGATAAACACCACGTGACCAGCTACCGATCAGCAATCGTGAGGTCGCACGGACTTCTGGAGTGTTTAATATTTATCTCGTTCCTCATGAGGGTTGAAGCAGCGCTGTGAGCGGCTGCGACCCAAAAAGTATCAGAACCGCTCACGGCGCATTCGCAATCCTGCATCAACTCCGCTCGCCCGCTATTTCCCTAATAACACACGCTGTTCGTTTTTGTTTCTACACGTTTTTTACTCACAAAGATTGTCAAGAAAGCGTGTTTGTCGTGTTCATGTCAAATTAAACTGATCACAAAACACAGATTTACTTTCTTTATTTCGTTTTCCTCATCCAACCCCCATAAATCCCTGTGTGTCCTCCTGCTGCACTCCAGAAGGACAACAGGCAAAACAAGACAAAAAAGTCTAACGTGTTGTGTAAAAACTGCTATTTTTGGCATATTTTAGGTCCGACGTGTTGCTACCAGACGTACAGTGAGCACATGACTCGTGAGATCTACCCTGCGCTGAAGTCGTACAGTTTGAGCTGAAGCTGTGTTACGAGTGAAAAAGTCGCACAGTGTCCGCCCAGCTTATTATAATGTTCACTGTAATGCATCTTGATGTTCTTAACAAATAAATTAAATCAAAGATATTTGTCAATAATGCCAAATATGTAAATTTGGGTTTCAGTCATTTTTATACTGGCTTAAAAATACTTTATTAAGTCTACTAAGCAGGGATGTAGAACGTTTTTAACAGGGCCAGCCCAGTAATGATCTTGGAGCAAAATAAAGGGGGCAGAGAGTCAAATAAAGGGGGCAAAAGAAGATGTTTTTCCAGACGCCAAGAAAAATTAAATGCCAAATCCACCCTGCAAAGTGTGTCACTGAGAGTTTAAAACAGAAATTATTCTTGTGCAAATACTGGTGTATTCACCTTTAATACTAGTTATTACAATGCAGCAGTTGCTGGATTGGTGCAGTTCAAAGTGGAGTGCATCAAATAAAACAATATTAACATAAAGGTGAGACATGTCATAATCACCCCCCCCCCCCCCCCCCCCCCCGCCAACACCACCTCCACCACAGCTGGAAAAATTCCTAGGGGAAACACTGAGCTATATATACATATATATATATGTATATATATATATGTGTGTGTGTGTGTGTGTATATACAGGTGCTGGCCAGTAAATTAGAATATCATCAAAAGGTTGAAAATATTTCAGTAATTCCATTCAAAACGTGAAACTTGTACATTATATTCATGCAATGCACACAGACCAATGTATTTCCAATGTTCATTACGTTTAATTTTGATATTTATAGGTGACAACCAATGAAAACATCAAATCTGGTATCTCAGAAAATTAGAATATTCTAAAGGCCAATGAAAAAATTTTTGTTTCTCTAATGTTGGCCAACTGAAAAGAATGAACATGAAAAGAATGTGCATGTATAGCACTCAATACTTAGTCGGGGCTCCTTTTGCCTCAATAACTGCAGTAATGCGGCGTGGCATGGACTCGATCAGTCTGTGGCACTGCTCAGGTGTTATGAGAGCCCAGGTTGCTCTGATAGTCGTCTTCAGCTCCTCTGCATTGTTGGGTCTAGCGTATTGCATCCTCCGCTTCACAATACCCCATAGATTTTCTATGGGGTTAAGGTCAGGCGAGTTTGCTGGCCAATCAAGGACAGGGATACCATGGTCCTTGAACCAGGTGCTGGTGGTTTTGGCACTGTGTGCAGGTGCCAAGTCCTGTTGAAAGGTGAAGTCTGCATCCCCATAAAGTTGGTCAGCAGCAGGAAGCATGAAGTGCTCTAAAACTTCCTGGTAGACGGCTGCATTGACCCTGGACCTCAGGAAACAGAGTGGGCCAACACCGGCAGATGACATGGCACCCCACACCATCACTGACGGTGGAAACTTTACACTGGACCTCATGCAACGTGGATTCTGTGCTTCTCCGCTCTTCCTCCAGACTCTGGGTCCTTGATTTCCAAAGGAAATGCAGAACTTGCTTTCATCAGAAAACATAACTTTGGACCACTCAGCATCAGTCCAGTCCTTTTTGTCCTTGGCCCAGGCGAGACGCTTCTTGCGCTGTTTCTTGTTCAAGAGTGGCTTGACACACGGAATGCGACACCTGAATCCCATGTCTTTCATGAGTCTCCTCGTGGTGGTTCTTGAAGCGCTGACTCCAGCTGCAGTCCACTCTTTGTGGATCTCCCCCACATTTTTGAATGGGTTTGTCGTCACAATTCTCTGCAGGGTGCGGTTATCCCTAGAGCTTGTACACTTTTTTCTACCACATTTTTTCCGTCCCTTCGCCTGTCTGTTAATGTGCTTGGACACAGAGCTCTGCGAACAGCCAGCTTCTTTAGCAATCACCTTTTGTGTCTTGCCCTCCTTGTGCAAGGTGTCAATGATTGTCTTTTGGACAGCTGTTAAGTCAGAAGTCTTCCCCATGATTGTGGTGCCTTCAAAACAAGACTGAGGGACCTTTTAAAGGCCTTTGCAGGTGTTTTGAGTAAATCAGCTGATTAGAGTGGCAGCAGGTGTCTTCTATATTCAGCCTTTTCAGAATATTCTAATTTTTTGAGATACCAAATTTGGAGTTTTCATTAGTTGTCACTTATGAATATCAAATTTAAATGTAATGAACATTGGAAATACATTGGTCTGTGTGCATTGCATGAATATAATGTACAAGTTTCACGTTTTGAATGGAATTACTGAAATATTTTCAACCTTTTGATGATATTCTAATTTACTGGCCAGCACCTGTATATATATATATATATATATATATATATATATATATATATATATATATATATATATATATATATATATATATATATATATATATACATATACACATATATATATACATATACACACATATATATATACATATATATATATACACATATATATATATGTATATATATACATATATATATATATATATATATATATATATATATATATATATATATATATATATATATATATATATATATATATATATATATATATATATGTATATTAGGGCCGGGACTCAATTAAAATTTTTAATCTAATTAATTAGAGGCTTTGTAATTAATTAATCTAAATTAATCACATTTTAATCGTTCAGAAAAATGTGCCCTCGAAGCAAAACTTTTATTTAAAATTATGAGACAGAGAATCAAACAGACATGGTTATTACTGTAAACTAAAGCTTTTCAATGAAAAAATGCATTTTAATTTATTCAAATGTCACTGTGTGATATGAAACAACACCCAAATCAACTAAAGTCAGAGTAGTGAGAACACGGAGCGTTCTCCCAGTGGCAGCCGGGTGCCTCTCGTTTGTCTGACTACTTTCATAAACTACTGTTAGGGCAAAGAAGTATTCTGTCTGGAGCTTTCAGCGTTGCACAGATGATACGTAAATGTTAAAAATATAGCTGACCGCAACTTTTGTAAAGTTTCCGGTGCCACCGGGCAGCTGCAGCAGAGACGATCTCTGAAAAATGTCCGCGACACGGACTCCGTTGTTGTCTGGAAGTTTTTTTTTCCAAGTTAAGAAAATAGGCGGACGTGTTTCCTAAATCCTGCATCAGTCCAAGCAAGGCAACTTCTTTCTGTTTTTATTCCGCTTTAGTAGCCATTAGCACTGTGCATTGTTGTGTGCGTCAGTGATATTCAGTCTACGAGGAAATCGTGCAATGACAAAGGTTCCGCCTTGCTCGAAATGCAAGCTGTGATTAAATGCATTAATTGTTTTTTATGCGTCATTTTTTTCTAATTAATTAATCAATTAACGCGTTAAAGTCACGGTCCTCATATATTAGCTGAAGATTATATAGCTGAAGATTTTCAATTATTATTATTAGTTTTGGGTTGAAGACTTGACAAACATTAAGTTTCACTTTAGAGACTTGTGAATACTTTTCCCCACTAAACACACAAAAAGGTAATTCTGTAATTTTGGTTAATTAAATGTAACAAACTTCAGACCTGTAACGAAACGTAACACACACACACACACACACACACACTTCTCGTCTGTGCTGGGCTTATCCATCCGTGACTTGTTCCTCATCTTCTGATCTCGTTCTCATTCATGTCGAGCTGAAACAGCCGTTTGTGGGCTCTCATCCTGCTGTGTTTACTCAAATGGATGACCACGCTTTACAATATGAGAAGCAGAATTTCTATCTCGACTTCTCACGGGTCACGCCTGCCGCCCCCTAAATGCTGACTCATACATCTGTTTTCATTTGAATCCCATCCAGAACTCGTGGAACTGTTTCAGGAGAAGCAGCGCCCTCATTAGCCACATTTAAACAGCCAACCAGCTAACCTCTCTGTCCTCTCTCTCATCTTGCTTTCAGTGTCATGCAACAAGGCCAGCAGAACCCGTTGAGATGTCACTGAAGGACCAGAATGGGCCATTGAGGCTGGTCAGTGCAGTTCGGACGCCAAAGCCCAAAAACCACAGAAGCCACCCTAACTGACGGAGCCATGCCATCCTTGCTGTCCTGATCCTGTTTCCTGATTTCTTCACCCTCCCTCGGTTAAATCGCAGCGGCCCATCCAGCTCCGCACGCTCAGTTCAAGCATGGCGTCTCCCTTTATGTGGAAGCTGTCCTCCCAGAAGCTCGGCTTCTTCCTGGTCAGCTTTGGCTTCATCTGGGGGATGATGCTGCTGCATTTCACCATCCAGCAGCGAGCCAGCCACGAAAACAGCGCCGTGCTGCGGCAGCAGATCCTCGACCTCAGCAAGCGCTACATTAAAGCGCTGGCTGAGGAGAACCAAAATGTCATGGATGGGCCGTACGTGGGAACCATGACGGCGTATGGTGAGTAGAAGGCGTTTCGATAATAACGGATTTACCGTCTCTGTTAGCTTACTCCTGAACGGGTTACTCATTGATATGTTCTCTCTAACTTCTCTAGAAGAGCTGGAACCAGAGATGGTACCCCCTTTAAACAGAAATGTTGATGGTTTATCATCTCAAGTCATTTATTCAGAAAAGTAAAATCAGGAATGAATGAAATAAAACAAACTCTAGAAAATATTACGAGGGGTTTCTTACACCTCTAAATGTTAGGGCTGGGGGTAAACGATTATTTTATCCAATAGTCGACTATTCTAATGATCATTTAGACAATTAATCTAGTGTTTATTTTTCTATTGCACAGTTAATAAAAACCAAAAAATCTCAAATAAATTCCTCAAAAAAATTGATAAATTGTTACTGTAAGAGAATAAACACTACAGACCTTCCATTTTGTATAACACTGCTTTTATTGTGTTGGTTGGTTATGTTCTGGTGACGTGTAGAACTTGGGAGAGCAGGCTGCTGCCTGAGAGGTGGTTGGAGACGGAGTGTCTCCATGCGGCTTTGTTTTGGTCACTTATGAGCGTGAGGTGAGTGGTGTTACGACTCCTCCTGGGGAGTTTGGCTTGTGTGCAAAAAGGAAGGGACAATAACGGGATTTAAAAGTTAAAATGATGATCAGGTTTGTTTACAACAACAAAAAAACAAATCTTTCCATCCACAGGTTGGGAATAATAAAACTAATTCTGCCTGTGGGGAATTAAAACAAAAGTACAAATAAGTAGGGATGTCCCACTGGGCAAAGATTACTGGGTTCTCGACCAAAATAAGGATCTCCAATAGGGGTGTCGCGGTTGAGGAATTCCCCCTGCGGTGATTCAGGGTGGCTTAATATTGCGGTGTGCGATATTATTGCAGCCCTTGTTTTATTGCAGCACTATCTAAACATAATGTTTACACATTTAAAAAAGGTTAAAAATTGCCGTGCCTTCTTTTATAACACTTTACTGAATGCAGATCAAAGGGCAGTAACAACACAGATCGCAGTAACGTTTGTTTCTCCGACAGTCGGAGTCCGACTGAACTTAAAAACAACAAAATTCAGGAGAAGGTTAAACTTTTAAATGCAAATTTGGCTGCAGCATCTAACAAATAAGAAACAAGTGCCCATTTTGTTTAGTTGTTTAAAATCAAGCATAAAAAATTACATGTAGCGGGCGTGGGGGGGGGGGGGGGGGGGGGGGGGGGGGGGCTTTGGCACTATCATTTCACTTTCACACACACGAATGACGGTGATTTATAGCTCGGTCACGTCCTTGTTACCCACAAGGAAAACCAGCATGTTAACCATATACGGTTTGAGAGAGGATCTGAGAGGGGTGGTAACATTTGCAGCAACACTGAAAACCCTCTCGGATGGTGCGCTCCTTGCACTAACGCACATGTACTTGCGTGCGACTGGCGAGCAAAGGGAATCTCTCCCGGTTGTTGCTCCACCATGTCAGGGGGGTTTCTTTAGGGTGGATGCATTCCTCCTGCAGGTAGCGAGTGAGCTCCAGCTCGGCTCAAACTCTCTTCGGGACGGTTGCAGAAGCAGTGCTTGTCCGGGACTTCAGCAGGTCTCCGAGCGTTTATTTATTTATTTATTTTGCCGCTGGTGGCAGCTCTGTCTCGGCCAAGGACTCTGGCTGCGCAGCAGCTGACGTACTGAAAACCAAAATGCTCCCAAAGGAGCGAAGTAACGTTTCGTTTTGATACCAGTGCAGCCATCCTTCTCAACATGCATCATTGAGTTGAACCAAGTTCAGTAATCGCGGTGGCCCATGATGCAGCGCGGTGGGCTTCTTCATATTGCGATATTTCATTTTTGCGGTTACCGCGACAGCCCTAATCTCCAAAGGTCCAAACTCTAAACTGGGTGGTTAAACCAAACTCAAGGTGATATTTTAAACTAAACCGAAAACCCACAACACTCTAAATGTAATAAAAGGGAGATCTGCACCACAAAAAAGATGAACTCTAAACCAAAACGTAACAGCTTATCCAAACGCAAGAAGCTGTTAGCGAAAATGCTAACAGTAGCTTTACCAATGTTAAGTTCAAGTTACCAAGTTTAAATAAACCAAAAATACCAGCAGCAAACAGACCAGCACGGAGGAAAGACTGCTACCACCAAAACAGCTCTCCTAATGTCTGAAAGAAGCTCCTTTATGAAGGGAGAAACGCTCCCGCTGATTTTCTACATCTGCGATAGACACGAAGCAGCGCATCTGACCCTGGAAGTTGTTGTCCGTTGCCGGGAGACGGAGGCGAGCAAAACAAGAAAGGAACCTAGTAGCGGACGGACATTGTTCCTTGTCTTTGGTATTTGGCGGAGATGTTAGTGAAGGCGGAGAAGAGGGCGAACTAGAGGAAAAACAGGCAGATTCCTCCTCTATTTACAAACTCCTGGGGATGCAACAAGTGGGTGTGGTGCGTCGACTTCCGGATCTGACGTCGACAAATTTTTAGAATCGAGCCGTTGACGTCAACGAGGCTTCGCTACAGCCCTACCAAATGTTATTCTGCATTGTTAACTCTGTGACTTTGTGCTTTTCTGGAGAAAATTACACACACATCTTTTATGCTGATTCAGATTTCCTGCACAGATCTGGCCTTTTTGATTTGCCTCTGAGAACTATAATTTACAGTAGGGCTGGGCGATATGGCCTCATATCTGTATAATCTGAAGTAGGGCCCGACCGATATTATCGGCCGATATTGGGGTCATTAACAGTATCAGCTATCGGCCAAAAAGACGGACGATATAGCCGATATTGTGCTTCCTATCCAGCAGATGGCGCCAGCTTTATGAACTCATGTTGTGTGGCTCCACTCCTTTGAACTTTGAACACAAATGATTGTTTTGGAACTTTTTTAAAAATGTATTCTTATTTATGTGTCTTATGTGCAATTATTTCCTGTGCAGGGTGAATGAGTTCACCAAGCTAACTTCCACAGAGTGTTACTTTGTTACAAAGCACAAGTATTGCATTTTATTTATTGCTGCATTTTTATTATTTTAATATTCTTATAGGGATCTAAACGTGTGTGTGTGTTGTTAGATTCCCCAGAGTTAGCAAAGTCAGAAAAAACATTTTGTAACCGGTTGTTTTAGCATAAAGCAATGGAAGGGAAGGCTCAAGGAGCGTGGCTAGACCGACGTGCTGAGCAACATCTTTTGCTTGCATTCACCTACATAAAAAACACTACAGTGTATGTGAATTCACTTACATTGTTTTATGCTAAACTAAGAAAACCAACTGCTGCCAGATCATATTGGGCTGGTTATAAAATGCTTTTTCTGACTTGTCTAACTCTGGGGAATCTTAACAAGACACAATTTTACTGAGCGGTGGAATATTCCTTTAGGTTAAAATGTATTTGTGGAAACCACAGTTTACAAGAAAAAACTTGAATGCTAGATTTATGCTGTGACTGAGTTTACGTGTTCTGTTGTTTTTGCGATCTGCTGACTAAATCTTATTTGCATTACTTGGAAACCTTAGTGAGTCATCGAGACAGTTCTTTGGTGTGTAATAGAGAAATAAGGCAGAGAATGAAGGGTTTATGCTCAAGAAAATTTTTATTAGGGCAGGGACTTTAACGTGTTAATTATGATTAATTAATTAGAAAAAAATGACGAGTTAAAAAATTAATGCATTTAATCACAGCTTGCATTTCGAGCGAGGCGGAACCTTTGTCACTGCACGATTTCCTCGTAGACCGAATATCACTGACACACACAACAATGCACAGTGCTAATGGCTTCGAAAACGGAATGAAAACAGAAGTTGCCTTGCTTGGACTGATGCAGGATTTAGGAAACACGTCCGCCTCTTTTCTTAACTTGGGAAAAAAAACACTTCCAGACAACAACGGAGTCCGTGTCGCGGCTGCCTGGTGGTACTGAAAACTTTACAAAAGTTGCGGTCAGCTATATTTTTAACATTTACGTAACATCTGAGCAGCGCTGAAAGCACCAGACACAATAATTCTTTGCCCTAACAGTAGTTTATGAAAGTAGTCAGACAAACGAGAGGCACCTGGCTGCCACTGGGAGAACACTCCGTGTTCTCACTACTCTGTAAACAAAACAACGTGCCTTAAAGTTGAAAACAGAAGTTTAAGTTAAAACAGAAACACTCTAAAAATGCGATTAATTTAGATTAATTAATTACAAAGCCTTTAATTAATTAGATTAAAATTTTTAATCGAGTCACGGCCCTAATTACTTTTTTTGTGAGGGAGATTTATCGGCCATTATATCAGCTATCGGCCTTTGTTAAAAGTTTTATATCAGTATTAGTATCGGTCCCAAAAAAAAGCATATGTGGCGGGCCCTAATCTGAAGCATGTGCGATTACAATATATACTGCGATATATTTTTTCCTTTGTTTATATATGTTAAAATGACATGCTTTAAAAAGTCCTCATATGGAAAATATATTGCAGCAGAATAAAGACGTCCAAAAAGTGTAGCGCCTTGGGCTTCCTCAGCGCCTTGGGCTTCCTGACAGGGTTGCGGAAGGCGCTTTATAAATAAAGCTTTGATTTGATTTGAGAATGCTCCTCCTCCTCCCGCTACATGCTTGCAGTCATTGCCATTCTGTTGTTCCTATGTCGGCGTGGGTGCACATCTTAGTGACATCATGTGTTATCGCGGTAGAGCCAAAAACTTATCATTACCCAATTTTATATCGTTTCTACCTTATATCGTTTATATTGCCCACCCCTAATTTACAGATCTGTATTATTTTTCCGGTTAATTGATAAACCTTCCATATTGGAGAAATGTCATTGCTTTTTATTAATGTTGCTGTCCAGATTAGTTCTTTTATTTGAAGGTATCATCAAGTGGCTGGTACATCTAGTTGCTGTCTAGTGGTATCACATTTTGATCTACTTTCATTTTCATACGTAAGGCTGAAAGCAACGCCACTTGTTCATAAACGCGCTCCGTTTGCCGATAAAACAGG